TTCTTCGGTCTTCCTTATTCATTGTCCAGCTTCCACATACATATGAGGTGACTGAAAACACCATGGCTTGCGCTAGGTGCACCTTAGTCCTTAAAGTGACATCTTTGCTTTTTAACACTTTAAAGAGGTCTTTTGCAGCAGCTTTGCCCAGTGCAATACATTGTCATTTGATTTCTTGACTGCTGCTTCCATGGGTGTTGATTGTGGATCCAAGTAAAATGAAATCATTGACAACTTTCAACCTTTTCTCTGTTTATCATGATGTTGCCTACTGGTCCAGTTGTGAGGATTTTTGTTTTATGTTGATGTGTAATCCATACTGAGATATATATAGATACAGATATATTAGAGAGATATATATTTAAACAAGGCAACAGAATATAACTATCATTAAAGAATTAAAGAATATTCCACACCTTCTCTATATTCCACCAATAATTGTTATGATGAAATTCTTAAAACTTCTCAATCCTCTCTTTCTACAGTCTATAGTCTATTGACTTTTGACTTTTGTTTTATCATCATCATCATTCAAATATACAGTCTGTATACTTCAAGAAAATAGCTACTAGGTTCTACCCCAGGATTTTCTGCCTTCGGGCTAAAATTATCCCAGCTGTTAAACCTTTTTCTATTTGCTAACTGGGTAATGGATATCTCACCTTGCTCTCAATTACCTTCTAGGTTCTGGAGCCCCGGTCACTGTAACTGGTTATAAAGACAAGTAAAGGGAGATTACACTTACACTTCATTATGTGGCCCATTTAGAAATACTCAAATTAAGATAGCTCCTATAAAACTCATTGCCGTTGAAGTCGATTCCAATTCACAGCGACCCTATAGGACAGAGTAGAACTGCCCCCACAGGGTTTCCAAGGCTCTAAATCTTTACTGAAGTGGACTGCCACATCTTTGCCTGCAGAGCAGCTGGTGGGTTCAAACCACTGACCTTTCAGTTAGCAGCTGAGTGCTTTAACCATTGTGCCACCAGGGCTCCTTTAAGATAGCTCAGTACCTAGCATACAGTTTGTGAATGTCTGTTTAATGAATACACTGAAAGCTTGATGAAATACTACTGTAAAAGTAGAGTTAATATTTATTAAGTGTAATTATAATATTAGCTAAAATTTATTGAGTACTTAGCATAGAGAGCCTGGCATATAATATATGCTTTAGATGCATTATTTCTTTTAATGCCCACAACAACCTATGAATAGGTATTATTTTTACCCCTATTTTACAACTGAGGAAACTAAGGCTCAGAGATGTTGAGACATTTTCCCCATAGCCGTAGATTTATTAGTAAGTTTCAGAATCAGGACCAGAACACCCAGGTGTCTGACTCCAAAACCTATGCATTTAACCAAAAGGGACATTTTAAACCAGACAGTAGGACATTTTAAAAATACTATGCCAAGTATTACTACTACCATACCCGACCTGAAGTTGTATTTTATCATACTTCCACAATCCTTTCCTATATATTTTCAAAATGATAAAATGAAAATAATATTCTGAAAGAGTCAAATCCTAGAGTTTACAGAGTATCTAATTTAACAGACTTAAATTACACTCATACTAACTGTTAAGAACAACATGGATTATCTAGGTCAAGAAACTGTCTTTATAATTCTACCCAGAGCAATTTACAAATACAATGCAATCCTGACCCAAATGCCAACAACATTCTTCAAAGAGATGGAAAAACTAATCATTAACTTTATATGGAAAAGGAAGAAGCCCGGAATAAGTAAAGCACTATTGAAGAAGAAGAATAATGTTGGAGGACTCACACTACCTGACCTCAGAACCTACTATACAGCTACGGTAGTCAAAACAGCCTGGTACTGGCACAATGACAGATACATTGACCAATGGAACACAATTGAGAATCCAGATGTAAATCCATCCACCTACAGTCACCTGACCTTCGACAAGGGCCCAAAGTCCATTAAATGGGGAAAAGACAGTCTTTT